ATACAACTGAAAGTGAGGGGATGGAAAAAGGTATTCCATGCAAATGGAAATCACAAGAATGCTGGAGTAGCAATACTCATATCAGACAAAATAGACTTTAAAATAAAGACTGTTACAAGAGACAAGGAAGGACACTACATAATGATCAAGGGATCAATCCAAAAAGAAGATATAACAATTTTAAGTATATATACAACCAACACAGGAGCACCTCAATAAAGCAAATGCTAACAGCCATGAAGGGAGAAACTGACAGTAACATAATAATAGTGGGGGACTTTAACACCCCACTTTCATCAATGGACAGATCATCCAGACAGAAAATCAATAAGGAAACACAGGCCTTAAATGACACGTTAGACCAGATGGACTTAACTGATATTTATAGAGCACTCCACCAAAAACCAAGAGAATACACATTCTTTTCAACTGCACACGGAACATTCTCCAGGATAGATCACATACTGAGTCATAAAGCAAGCCTCGGTAAATTCAAGAAAACTGAATATCAACCATCTTTTCCGACCACAACGCTACAAGGCTAGAACTCAACCACAAGAAAAAACTTGCAAAAAACACAAACACATGGAGGCTAAACAATATGCTACTAAACAACCAGTGGATCACTGAAGAAATCAAAGAGGAAATCAAAAAACACCTAGAGACACACAAAAACGAAACCACAATAATCCAAAACCTATGAGACACAGCAAAAGCAGTTCTAACAGGGAAGTTTATAGTGTTACAAGCTTATCTCAGGAAACAAGAAAAATCTCAAGTAAACAACCTAACCTTACACCTAAAGCAACTAGAGAAAGAAAAACAAAACCCAAACTTAGTAAAAGAAATCATAAAGATCAGAGCAGAAATAAATGAAATACAAATTTTAAAAAAAACAGAAAAGATCAACAAAACTAAAATCTGCTTCTTAGAAAAGAGAAACAAAATTGATGAACCTTTAGCTAGACTCATCAAGAAAAAAGGGAGAGGGCCCACATTAATAAAAACAAAAAAGGAGAAAAGTTACAACTGACACCACAGAAATACAAACGATCATGAGAGGCTACTACAAACAACTATATGTCAATAAAATGGACAACCTATAAGAAATGAGCAAATTCTTAGAAAGGTACAACTTCCCAAGGCTGAAGCAGGAAGAAGTAGAAAATATGAACAGCCCAATCACGAGTACTGAAATTGTATCTGTGATTTAAAAACTCCCAACAAACAGAAGTCCCAGACTAGATGGCTTCACAGGTGAATTCTACCAAACATTTAGAGAAGAGTTAACACCTATGCTTGTGAAACTATTCCAAAAAATTGCAGAGGAAGGAACACAGCCAAACACATTATATGAGGCCAACATCACCCTGATACCAAAACCAAAGATAACACACACACACACACAAAATTACAGACCGGTATCACTGATGAACATAGATGCAAAAATCCTCAACAAAATACTAGCAAAAAGAATTCAACAACATATTAAAAAGCATGATACAACATGATCAAGTGGGATTCATCCCTCAGATGCAAGGATTTTTCAACACCCACAAATCAGTCAACGTGATACACCCTATTAACAAACTGAAGAATAAAAAACATATGATCTCAATAGACGCAAAAAAGCTTATGAAAAAATTCAACAACCATTTATTATGATAACTCTCCAGAAAGTGGGCACAGAGGGAACATACCTCAACATAATAAAGGCCATATATGACAAACACACAGCTAACATCATTCTCAATGGTGAAAAACTGAAAGCATTCCCTCTAAGATCAGGAACAAGACAAGGATGTCCACTCTCACTACTTTTATTCAACATAGTTTTGGAAGTTCTCGCCACAGTAATCAGAGAAGAAGAAATAAAAAGAATCCAAATCAGAAAAGAAGGAAAACTGTCACTGTTTGCAAATGACATGATCTATATACAGAAAATTCTACAGATGCTGCCAGAAAACTACTAGAGCTCATCAATAAGTTTGGTAAAGATGCAGGATACAAAATTAATACACAGAAATCTGTTGCATTTCCATACACTAACAATGAAATATCAGAAAGAGAAATTCAGGAAACAATCCCACTTACCATCACATCAAAAAGAATAAAATACCTAGGAATAAACCTACCTAAGGAGGCAAAAGACCCATACACCGAAAACTGTAAGATGCTGACGAAAGAAATGGAAGACCACACAGATGAAAAGGTACACCATGTTCTTGGATTAGAAGAATCAATACTGTCGAAATGACTATATTACCCAAGGCAATCTATACATTCAACGAAATCCCTATCAAATTAGCAATGGCATTTTTTTTTTTTTTGCGGTACGCGGGCCTCTCACTGCCGTGGCCTCTCCCATTGCAGAGCACAGGCTCCAGACGCGCAGGCTCAGCGGCCATCGCTCACGGGCCCAGCCGCTCCACGGCATGTGGGATCTTCCCGGACCAGGGCACAAACCCATGTCCCCTGCATCGGCAGGCGGACTCTCAACCACTGCGCCACCAGGGAAGCCCACCAATGGCATTTTTCACAGAACTAGAACAAGTAGCCAAAACAATCTTAAGAAAGAAGAATGGAGCTGAAGAATCACGCTCCCTGACTTGCTACAAAGCTACAGTCATTAAAACAGTATGGTACTGAACACAAAAACAGACACATAGATCAATGGAACAGGATAGAGAGCCCAGAAATAACCCCCTGCACTTACGGTCAGTTAATCTACAGCAAAGAAGGCAAAAATATACAATGGGAAAAAAAGACAGTCTCTTCAATAAGTGGTCCTGGGAAAACTGGACAGCTACATGTAAAAGAATGAAATCAGAACATTCTCCAACACCATATACAAAAAATAAACTCAAAATGGATTAAAGACCTAAATGTAAGATCAGATACTATAAAACTCCTAGAGGAAAACACAGGCAGAACACTCTTTGACATAAATTGTAGCAATATTTTTTTGGAATTTCTCCTAAAGTAATGGAAGCAAAAGCAAAAATAAACAAAAGGGACCTAATTAAACTTAAAAGCTTTTGCACAGCAAAGGAAACCATAAACAAAACCAAAAGGCAACCTATGGACTTGGAGAAAATATTTGTAAAGGATGCAACCAACAAGGTATATATTTTGCACAATATACAAACAGCTTATACAGTTCAATGTCAAAAAATCAAACAACCCAATCAAAAAATTTGGCAGAAGTCCTAAACAGTCATTTCTCCAAAGAAGACATACAGATGGCCAACAGGCACATAAGAAGATTCTCAACATCACTAATTATTAGAGAAATGCAAATGAAAACTACAATGACGTATCACCTCACACTGGTCAGAATGGCTATCATCAAAGAGTCTACAAATAATAAATGCTGGAGAGGGTGTGGAGAAAAGAGAACCCTCTTGCACTGTTGGTGGGGATATAAATTGGTGCAGCCACTATGGAGAACAGTATGGAGCATCCTTAAAAAACTAAAAATAGAGTTACCATATGATCCAGCAATCCCACTCCTGGGCATATAACCAGAAAAGATGAAAACCCTGATTCGGAAAGATACATGTACCCCAATGTCTACAGCAGCACTATATACAATAGGCAAGTTCATAGCAGCACTATTTACAATAGCTAAGTGTCCGTTGACGGAGGAATGGATAAAGAAGATGTGGTACATATATACAATGGAATATTACTCAGCCATAAAAAAGAATGAAATAATGCCATTTGCAGCCAAATGGATGGACCTAGAGATTATCATTCTAAGTGAAGTCAGAGAAAACCAAAAATCATACGATATCACTTATATGTGGAATCTAAAAAAACCATACAAACAAACTTATTTACAGAACAGAAATAGACTCACAGACATAGAAAACAAACTTATGGTTACCAAAGCAGAAAGGTGGAGAGAGATAAATTGGAAATTTGGAATTAACATATACACACTACTATATATAAAATAGATAACCAACAAGGACCTACTGTATAGCACAGCGAACTGTATTCAATATCTTACAACCTACAATGGAAAAGAATCTGAAAAAATACACATATATGTATGTGTATATATATACATATAAACATAACAATCAGTCTGAAACACTGTAAATCAACCATACTTGAATAAAAAAAAGTTAATTAAAAAAAATTTTGGATTAATAAATGTTTTTATTTCCAAGAAAGGGTCTACAACAGATCTTACAAAGACTCAAAACCATTTATCACACCAACACATTTTTTAACACTTCCAGTGTGTTAATGAGCCAGCCAATTATGAATATATCTATTAGAATGGAGTAATGCCCTGAAAAATAAATATTTTACCTCTTAATAATAAAAGTTGCTAGGATTATTCAAGATTATGTTTTAATATAAAGAACATAACAGGAAGAAGTCTGCAAAATTTTTAAAGTAACTTGTAGTTTTATTAATTCTCCAGTACTCTTGCAACATTTTATATTACTAACAAAATTCCAATCACAGGAACCAGACACAAAATTTCTGCAGTTTACTTCAAACAGTCATATATGAAGACCAGACTCCATAGACATTACACTGCAAAGCTCAGAGATGACTGAAAATTTAGGTAGATAACCTTATTTAGCTAAAGAATAAAAACATTTCCCACTTTCTGCAATTATAGTTGAAAAGCTTTTTACGGCAGATGACACTCGGGCTGGAGATACATGTGGCACAGTTTGAGGTAAGCAATATAAAACTCAAGTCTACGAATTGAACAGATTTTCAGTTGCTGCACGGGTTGTTCTTCTAGTTTAAGTAAGTTTAAATTTTTTCACGGAAAAATAAATAGACTTCAGGCAAATAAAAACAAATTCCAGATAAACATAGTTCAGTGTTTTTTATTTTACCTTCATCAAGGCAGGCAAAGTACAGATACTGTACATTAAAAACATACACATACACCATTCACAGCACATGGACTCCTACAGGGAAGAGGCCGTTTTCTAAGCACTGCTCCTCTCTGAAGCGCGCAACTGCAGCTAAATGTACAAAGAGCCATCCGCTGGTCCTACGTAGCCAACTCCAATGAGCAGGACGTCGAGCAGCGTCCATATTCCCAGGCCCCCGAAGCTGAAGAGCTTGCCGAGGCCTTCTCGCCACTGGCCCAGGTAGAAGCGGTCTGCTCCAAACCCACCAAGGGTGATGCTGCAACAGCAAACAGGCCTGGAGTCCATCAATGGCCCCCTGACTGCGCCTGCGTTACTGCGCCTCAGTAACCGCTAACTCACATGTGGGAAAGGGCCTCAAATCACCAGATCCCTTAATCAGGACACAGTGACTATCTCACAAATGTACAACCCTAAACAATCATGGGCAACAAGACCGTTTAATTGTCAAAAGTAAACGATTTTTAGCTGTAATGAAATCTAATGGTTCTCTTTTCAAGAAAATCGAGCTTGTTGCTTTTTTAACCTTGAAATGGCACATCCAGGAGATTTGCAAAGTGGGGCTAGTCCTACAGACAGTGCAGGAACATGGTGGTCGAAGGTGGCATCGCCAGGCAGCCAACACCACATGGCTGCCCAGATCAAGTCGTGAACATTGTCAGTCACCCATCTTTAAAAATTTCATGTTCAGAATAAATGACTTTTAAGGTTCCTTCAAATTCTAAGATCTAACAATATTCGGACAACTTCTCATTGTATTTCTTTTAAAGCTTTTATTATGAAAAATTCCAAACATATAAAAGTAAAAATAAGAGAACAGCACCCATGACCCAGCTCCAATAGTTATCAACACATGTCCATCCCTGGCTCATCTACACCCTTCCAATCCCCCACCCTGAGTACCAAGAAGCAAACACCAGGCGTTATCACATTCACCATGAATATTCTCAAAGAAACCATGTTGAGCCCAGAGAAGAAATTATTCTTATTTTTTAAAAATCAGCTATTAAATGTGCCATGGTAATTTAAGATGTCAACAATGTGGGGGAAGCTGGGTGAAGGGTGTACAGGAAGTCTCTAGCTTTGCAACTTTTTTTTTAAATCTAAAATTATTCCCAAATAAAAAGTTTACTGAAAAGCAGAAAGTCAGCTGTTAGTTTGAATGTGAACCACTACTGACAAAGACGCTGGGTGTCACCAAATCTCACTGTCGTTACATCTAATTTTCTATCGTGGACCCGTCTTTCACTTTCCAGCTGTGCCTTCCTGCCAGCAGGATCCTCCTTTTCCCCAGCCCAAACCCTGACTCAGTGGATCCCCACAAGGTGCCACTCGGCCATCCCTGGAGGCATTTTTGATTCTCACAGCTTCAGTGGGGGTTGGGGAGACTGCTAACACGCAGTAAATGGAGTCCAGAGATGCTGCTGAACATCCTGCTCTGCACAGGACGCCCCACGGCAGAGAATTCGTGGCCCAAATGTCAACAATGACAAGGCTGAGAAGCCCTGCCCGCGTCGCACCACAGGCCACAGGCCACCTCAGACTCTTACCCTAAACCTCCAACAGCGGATGCCTACCTTCCTAATCAGGGAATCATTTAACCAGCACCCCACCTGCCCTTCCCTCTGGTGGGAAGAACTGGTACAATTTTCTTTTCAAACTGTTGAAAAGTTTAACTAATACAAGCAAATTTTTATGTAAAAATTGTAAGTCTATAAGTATGTTTGAATGGTGGAATTATAGGTGATTTTCAACGTTTCTCTTTGTCATTTTCATTTTTTTTCCAGTTTTCAGTACTGAGCATGTATTATTTTTTGTAATAAAGAAGAAAATTACTGAAAATTAAAGATATACATCATAAACCTACCAACTTTAATTAGTATATGGCATTTTACTAATTCACGGTACACTCAGGATGGGAAGCACTGACTGGTTCTAATGATCTCTAGTAATGATTACAGTCACCTCTAGAATGTACAGGCCATCTTGGGAGGAAAACCAGCAATAGGCCATTAAATTCCACGAGGGTACTGGTCTGACCACCTAAATAACCTCCCACAGTGCTGTCCCTATGGTCTACCTAACACACGGCAGGATCTGAGTGGATGGAGGAGGAGCTTGGAAGAGCCCACCAACCCCAACAAAATCCAAATGGCATCCGACTTACTAGAAACAGAGCTTACCTCAGAGCCAGAGCAGTAGACCACTTATAACCGCCAGTCCAGTTGCAGTACAGCATTTTCGGAAAAGTACGGTTACCTTAAAAAAGGGAAAACACTCCACATAAAAACACAGGTATAAAAATACTCTCACACAGAGACTAAATTATAACTAGGGGCCTTGTGATTTACAATCTAAAAAGCCAACTTTCTTTACAAAAGTAAATGTTCACTACAATGAATGGTAAAAAGAAAGCCCTGACTGTCTATGAGCACAGACTCGACATTTAAATCAGTTTTGTGAGAATCACAGCTTGAAGAAGGTAAAACACCCCACCTGCTGTGAAAACGTGGGTAACGTGGGGCTGAGACAGACAAACCAGGCACCGGGAAGGGAGCGGGCCCACAGACTGCCCGGGAGTCCTGGGACACTGGGCTGTCCCAGCCAGAAAAAGTGAGACTGAATCCACCTTACACCATACATCAAACCAACCCCAGGGGACTAGAGACCTAAACGTGAAAGGCCACATTTACAACTTTTAAAAGAACGTACAGGAAATTATGAATCTGGAGTAGGGA